TCTCACAAAATTATTTGTGTTTTCTTGTGGCATTTTATCCATGACACGTGCTGTTCATGGAGGTGCAGCATTAAATGTCATGTCTTGCAAATGTAACACTCTGGCTTGGAAAGAGTTGTTAAGGAGGGAACTTGCCCTACTTAAACAGCTCTTGTGTTTGCCCAAGGTTTTTTGTATAGTATTCTTCTAACTGATTCTAGTTTTCAGCATTAAATATGATAGATGTTAATATAAGTGATTCAGTTCTAGTTTACAGCATGCCTTTGCAGCTGGGGTACTTAACATGCTCTCCTGGCAGCTCAGCAGCCAAAGCAATAGCAAATCTGGTCCTCAGCTTTTATCTTTGCAGAATGCTACCCCTCTAATTAACGATCCATGGCAATATGCAACGAGTTTGCTTTCAGCTCTTGGCCTTTGGGATGGTCAGGAGCCAACAGAAATGTACAGGGAGCTCAGTCATTAAAGGATTTAGTTTCCCTTATTGTATGTCAACTTGAATCCTTTGCTTTATAAAAGCAATCTGAACCAAAGCCGTATTTATCTATGTAATTTTATGAATACTGAAGTGAGTTTTGCCCATTAGTGCTAGTTCTGGAGCTATGGGGCTTGTGCTCTTCTGGTGGCACTAAGTAGGATGTGTCAGCTCTGTGAAGGCCACTGGTGAGGGTGGATTTAGCATCACTGGGGAGCCACGTCATGTACTCATCACTAAACAGCACCACAGCACACCCAGTTTGACATGATGGAAACTGTCATGCAGGGCAAGTGCCACTCCTGGTCAAGTTGGGTCTTGTTTCAGGGATGAGTTTGAGCTTCTTCAGAGGCAAACATTTCTGTGTTTCAGCAGCACTGAATGCTGTAGCAGTGAGGTTAAAATGACAATTCTCCTAACCAACGCTCTTGTGCAGCAACTGTACAGCAAGCAAAGGGGACCAGTCTGTGCTTGGCTCTGAAGCAGATCAAATGCCCTCCTGTCAGCCCTTGTTTGCACAGCTGCCATGCTTGGAAAAGTCACTTCAAATCAGTTGCCCAGTTCACTTTGCTCCCTTAATTCTTGGCTAGAAATGCTCGTATGTTAAAATGTCGCTCAGGTGCAACATTGCCTTTGTTGTTGACACCTTTGTAACAGCTCATGGGCAGAATGATAGACCTGGAAGGCTGAAGGGGAGACTTGGTAATTTTGCATCGTTGCATCCAACCTTGTGGCTTGTGTCTGCCTGCATAAAACCAGTGCTGCTCTGAAAATGGTGAATCCATCCTTTCTTTTCATAGGTTCTTACCAAGATTAATCGCTCTTCATAATTTTTTGTATATTTAAATTTCCCTGATTTTCACTTCTAGATATATTTTCCTCTGCTTTGTCCCCTGGATTACAGCATCTCATAGGCCTGGTAGGGTGAAGATTCCTGAACGAATTGGTTGAAGTATCAGCTTCTCTTTATTTGTATATTTATTTCTAAACATCCTATATCTGTCAAATGGCCTCAGAATGTTCCTGAAAACAAACAAAGCAGCAGTGGTTGGAGGTGGAACCATGTCACAGATGGGGGGATTTGTGGGGACACATCAGTGTATGGGAGATGTGAGCAGCCCCTGGGGTTTGCCAGGAAGGAGGGAGAATGTTAGGGAAAACAGCAAACATGAGGAAGAGGTGATTAAAAGAGTGGTCAGGGAGATTTCCTTACTTGGATGTTTCCTTGTTCATAACAATTTGCATAACCTGGTTTAATTTGCTTTAACCAAGCCCATGTTTTGATAATACTCTGGGGTTAGGGGATCTGGTTTCTTGGCCGCCTCTGTTCCCCCCTTTCATGTTATTACAGAAGGACATCTAGCTTTTCTGCATGCTGCTTCCCCTGTTGTGAAATGACAGCAGCACCTTCTAAAAACGTAAACCCCATCAGGACTTGAGGAGATCAGATAGGCCAGTGAGTATTTCTGCTAAGCAAGATCACCGGTGAGGCTGAGTGGAGGCATTTGGAGGCTTAGCAGAATGAATCCTCTGAACCTTTGAGATTCACTTGATGCTTCTAGAGGGGGATAAAAGTGGACTTAATTAAGCCATTCCCAAATCCCTCCTGATCCATGACCATTTCCTCAACTCTCAATGTACCCAAGCATCTGTGCAAGCCAGAAGTGTCTGTTTGGCTGTACCAGCTTCCTTGGCACTACCAATCTGCTTGCAGGAGAGAGGGGTAAACTTGTCCCGTTCCCCCCCTGGCCTTTGTCATACTGATAAATGTTGTGGCAATACCACACGTGATTTCCTGAACCCGGGGGTGTTATTGTAATGAACAGCATTCAGCCTTGAAGGGTCAGTTATTGTGTATTAGGACTGTAGGTGAGTGTGTGACCATGCTATGAAGTGAAGAAAGAAAGGAGCATACACGTTTGGCAGTGGAGCAGTTGGTGCTGGCTGCAGTGACCTCTGCTGGGAAGCCCACAGCTGCTCTGTCCAACTTCAGCACCACAACCCACATCTTGATCTAAACCACAGGTTTCTCCCCAACTCATTCCTATTATTTTTAGTTTTATCTTGAATTCCATTTTCCTTTAGATAGCTTGTCATTTGATAGTTCATCTCAGTAGAGGAATGCTATGTGGGACACTTTGTTTGAGGGTGTGCGATGGGCACTTCACCAGGAATATTGAGCACTGTGTGACTCCATGATTAAGGCCTTGCTAGTCCTGGGGAGAATGAGCGAAAGTGCATATAAAAATGCCTTCTTCCCATCTCAGCAAGCCCCTCAAGTTCAGAAGCCACCAGCAGTTGGGGTGGCTGGTGTGTACAGGCATCACCTCCCAAAGGGACACATCATCTTCCAAATATCCTCATCCCTATGGGGGATTGTTCCCTTTGTACTTTAGGGGTGATTCCTCTTCTTCTGCTGCCTTCTTCCAGATTACACTTAATATTGGCTGTTTCCCTGAAGCCCACATGCGCACATCCTGCATCTGTCTCGTTTCAAATCAGATTGGCTCAATACAGAGGACCCCACAGTGGTAGGACTAAACCTTTTCTCCCCTCTTCACTTTCAAACTGAGCGAGCTTACTGCCCTTCAGAGAGCACAGTGGCGCAGTGCCCATTTGGTTTGCAAATCAGGAAGGGGTGAGGGTCTTGTGGCAACTCTCAGCAGGCAGCATTGCATGTCTGATGAGCTCATTTCTGGCGTCTGCCCCCCTGGCTGCTTGTCTTTGTGGGTAACACCCCCAGTAGCCATGTGTGTGACAGTTAGGTGTTGCTGGCAGCTGTTTCAGAGGCAGTTAGGTTAGTTTGGAGAACCTCTGAGGTTCTCAGAAGTAGAAATGCGAAGCATTAATATGTGCATGGTCAAAACCGCACCGCAGGCTAAGTTGGAAGCTTTAAACAGATAACACTGTGGCAAGTTATTTGTATTAAAATTGCCTTGCTCATGATGGTAGGAGGTGCATGAACGTGCACAAGGGAAAATGGATAAATACATACAATTTTTCATTAAAAGTGACTAATGGATTGAAATGTGATTTGCAGTGTCCATTCAACTAACTTAAGCAAGGCAAAACTGCCCTTGTCCTAACTGTAGCCCTTAAGGGATCAGGCGCTAAATCTGCACAACAAAATGAATGTTTTTAAGCATGTGCTGTGTAAAGCCAAGTGGGAAATATATTGGTTTCCTGTTGTCAATAATAAGAACTTAATTTATGATGCAGTCTACCTGGAAATCTTGCTAAAATATCACGGGGTTTTCCTGGTATTTATGTAGAGTAAGGAGTGTACTGAGGTATTTGTTGCTTTGATATCCTGTAGTGCATTATATTTGAGATCATTTACTGTTGATGTTAAATTTCCTGTGCGTGAAGGTCCTTATATGAATGCAGCTTTTGATGGCTGATTATGGGTGTTAATTCAGGTCAGTCATAAGCTTTCCAGTGAATTCAGAGGAAATTGGATTAGTCTGCATTCTTACAGGAAAGATCCTGCCAGGCACAGGGGGCCTTCTGCTCTTAGCATCACATAGACTTGAGGGCACTTGGAACAATTAAGGATGAGGTCATGACACATGATTAAGGATCTTAATTAAGCTACTCGAACCTTGAAGCATGTAGAGTTTTGTATTTGCTGACAATGCACTTTTACTTTCTTTCTGAACATGTCCATCTGTTGTTTAATGAGTGGTCTCTGCTTAGCACTTCCCAGCTTTCTCTCACTCTTGAAATGCTTGTCTGCAATTGGTGTAATATTCCGCTCCTGGAGTTGTACCAGTCATCTCTTTAGGGTTTACATAAGTTAAGTGTATCCATTGAAAACTGTTTGTAAGCATTTAAGGAGCAAACCCAGAGAGGCAGTGCTCTAGTAGTCAATTAGATGTATGCTTGTAGAGATGATCTTTCTCTTCAGAGCTAGCATTTTGACAAGAAGCTTGGTGGGAATGACTGGGGGGAATGGTGACGGTGTAGAAAACCCATGAAGATGCTTGGAGCCATTGCAAAGAAAGTGCATGGTGTTTAATAATGCTGCAAATTCCCTCACTGCTCAAGGGAAATTCAGGCATCCAGACCAACAGTGACATTGGAGTAGGGTGAATTTGGTGCGAAGGAGTGTGGGGCTGTTGTATGGCTGCTGCCTCCCTGTGCCAGCTTCTGCATGGGGGCAAATCCCTGCCTTCTCTCTGCCAGCCTGCACCCTGACCCCGTCACTCCCTTGCACCCTCTTTTGCTGCTGAGATTTCAACCTCCAACCATCATCTTCATTCATGTGACAGAGGGACTGTAAACCTTTAATGCCCCAGATACTTAACCCTTAAATATTTTGGCTTCAGAGAGGATTGAAGGAATTTTCTGTGTGTAATAACTGCATTCTGGACTGTGAAGCATTACCTACTTTGGTCAAAATCGTATTTTATGATGTTGGATAAAGCACTGACAAGTAGTGTCTAACTAAAAATAGCTTTATGTTTTACAGCCACTTAACAAAATAAAAATCATTATTTCACTTTACCTGATCTTGTGTTTTTTTCAGGATCAAGCATGAAAATATAGTTGCCCTGGAAGACATCTATGAAAGTCCAAACCATTTATATCTGGTCATGCAATTGTAAGTACTGAGCCTAATGAATTTTTTTGTGTCAAAATCGCCAACTCTTCTTGTTCTGGTTTTGTTCTTTAACCCAAAAGATGGAATACATGAGAGGTGTTCGTGTGCAACCGTCTGAATAATCCCTGGTACGTGGTTAGAAATAAATCTCCAGGGGTGATGAGCTGTGTTGTTGTGAAATTGGGAATTAATGTTTTTTTGTGAATAGTCTCACCCGAATCAGGTCAGAGTGAAAAATCAAAGGGATCAGAACTGGCTCTGTACATATGCAGTTGCCAGTTCCCTGACTCAACAGATACCGCTCTGTACTGAGCAAGAGGTGACCCAAGATGCCACCATGTGTGTGGGCACATGGGTGCTGGATATGCAAGAAAGCGTCATTCTTGCCTCATTGTCATACCATTGTTCTTGACATGTCTCTCCCACAAGAGCCCATCTTCTCCCCTGTTTTTCCCCTCTGAACCTGAGAAGACCAGGTTCATGGCTCACCTGGTCTCATCTAGCTGGCAGAGAGGGGGGATACACAAATACTCATAGTGCTTTTTTCTGTCCTCCTCCTTCTGAAATAAGATTTCCAGCTCTGGTTTCTCTTTCAGTTGTGAGGTCACCTCAAACAAGAGTAGAGTAGACAGGCAGGGCAGAGGGATAAATCACAGCTGGGAAGAACCAGATGTGCCATAAGGAAGCCAGGAGCATCTGAGAGAGGCAGCTCTGAGGTTAAATACTCCACCTTAAGACCTTGGGAGACTGTGACAGTCCGTTGTTAGTAATACCCAGGCATGGAGATGTCATCAGAAGGTGTTCTGCTGGCTGTGTTGGAAGAATAGTGCCCTGGTTTTGTAGGCCTACATTTTGGTCCACAGTGCTGTAAAAGGACTTGCACAGGAATATCAGTGTGGTACAAGTTCCATCAAAGCAGCTGGGCTGTAGGAAGTACCAATTCCACAATCAGTTGATTAACATATCCTTATTTTTGTTTAGTCTCTTTAGAAAAAGAAATCATTATTATTCACACATATTAACTTGTTTAATGCAGTGTAACTCCCATTTTTCTAAATTTCTTACATCCAGGTCAATGGCTTATCTGAAATGTAGATCTGTAGTCATAGGAGACACTGAATATATATTAACATGAATTTCTACATGCTCACAATCCAACACTCACCAGGGAATTACCCTTTCTGGTTTAGCTGTATTTGTAAACCCAGTAAACTGATTTACCAAGGGCCAGGCATTTAGCTATTCCCAAGGGACACAGCTTCACTGATGTCTACTGGGATGAGATGCCTGGCAGCCAGGAACCCATCCTCAGTGTTCAGGGTGGCAGCTCTGAGCACTCCCAAGCTCTGACAAACAGCTGTGCCTCATGTTACGGTGTAGACCAAGACATCCTGTGCACAGCTGTGTTGAACTAAGTCAGCCAGGGAGCAGAATCAATGTTTTTTTTGCTATTCATAGTAAGAAAAAGCAGGAAAAAAACTCAAAAATCCTTGTTTTAGTCTAAAATGGACACAGGCTTGAGTGAGATCAAGTGATAGCACTGTAACAAACTCCCACTCACGGAGAGAGCCTGGGTGATGAACCTTATGTGTGCATGCTCTTAATCAGCCTCAGCTATGGGGTACTACACATTAGCTGAAGCTTATTTCATTAAAGTCATTTGATGTTGTACCAAGCTGTTGCTGTTAGCCCTCCTTGCTGCTGCGAATCAGACAAGGCCATGTTGTTCTGTGCTCTGCATGGAGTATTTCAGGGAAAAACCTGTCTGGACTGTCTTGGAAAAGGGTCATGTTATCCCAGGGTGGAAAGGGCAAACTGACCAAGTACTCACCTTGATTGTTGTGGATGTTGGATTAAGGATGGTGCAACCTCTGCACTGCCTTTGAATTTTCATCAATAGTTGGGATTGGGATCAATTGGCATCAACGGTTGGGTGGCAACTCTGAGAAGTCCAGAAGACTCAAAACCAGTTCTGCATGCCTCCTTTCCTGGTTTCCCTCTAGGAGGAGGCATGCATGGATAATCTCTTGTTTCCAAGGTAACACTAACTTGTTGATACAATAGCTGTGAACCATCGCACAGCATGTGGTATCTATTTGCTTACATCTCTGCCCTATTTATTATTAGGTTCCACATGGGGGTTTTAGCTTCTCTTTTTTTTTGTATTTCTCCTAAACAAGACAGGAGTTGCCTACATTTTAAACTGGGGTTTGATATGAAGTGGAAGGAATTCTGATCAAGCAGCTTTCAGGAAGCAACATTTAGCTTTAAGGCTAAAATTAGGGCCACTAATCCTATCCTAGGGCTGCTAATCCTAGATCAGTATCATGGGCACAACAAATCTCAAACACATATGCCCTTCTCCCTGGCTCATTGCCTGCTAAGTGGGCACTAACTAATGTTTCCCAATGGGGATTTTTTTGTTGGATGGATGGCATTTTCATTACCAGCCTTTAGAACACTCCTTATGGAAAATCCACATTACAGCCCCTCAGCTTCTCAGAGAGGAAGGCTTTTAGGGTAGACCAAGCCTCCCTGTTTATGTTTGCCGTCTGGTACATGCTTGTTAGCAGGCCAACCTAAAGGATAAATATTGCACCTCATTTGTTCTGTCAAAGATATGGACAAGCACAGGTACCAGTGTCTGTGCTGGAGCTGGTAGGAAAGGAGGTGAAGAGGCAGCTGTCCGTGTCTGCTTGACAGTTAATTTATTGCTGACAGTTCCTCTGGGAGCTTTCCCAGGGATATATAGTGGTTGGTGAATCTGTCCTGTGTTCCCTTGCCACGTTCGTGGGGAAATCAGAACTCTGGTTTTGGTTTCATCACCTTGTTGTCACATACATTGTATGCAAGCCACCATAAAACTGTTCAAATGGACAACCCTCTCACTGCAAGCTAGACCAGAACTCTGTCTCAGAGATGCCCAGATTTGACAACTCATAATTTCATGTGCTATCTCAAAACATTAACCTGTTCCTTAGAAATGACTGGGCCATTTTTACTTTATTTTCCCAAAATACGGGATATTGAAACCCAGTGCCTCTTAAGTTTGGCAAGATTATGGACAACTCCATGTGTTTTTTTGCTCCAAGCAGTATTGCTCAGCTTTGGTATGAGGTGGAGTTAATGGTGCAGCTATGAAGCAGAACACAGATGTGGGATAATCTTTGCCTGTCCTATGATGATTCTGCTAAAGTTTTAGAGGCAATATAGAAAAGTGCTGTGGAACATTTAGATTTTGTCATATTTCTATTAGGATGATGTGCTTTCAAACCAAGAAAACACCTATTCCTTTCCAAGCTTGGATTTCCTATATTCCTGTGTTAAGGCCTACACAGGCAACAAAGACAAACAGAATATTATGAAAGTTTTATTCTTTGTGGATGCTGGGTGGAATTTGCACAAGATTATTGTAGAAGACAGAGGGAAATAAAGTGCTTTCAGAAACAGTTGTTTTGTTGAACTGTGTCTTGGTATGATAGTAAGCTTTGTTGTTGATGAGCAGTTACAGGATTTTTGGTGGCTGTTGGTAAGAATTACCCGCCTGTATATTCTAAGCTGTCTTCCTTGCTTCTTGACGTCAGTATAGGGAAATATCCTGTGACTAGTATTGTCAGATATTAATATTTCATTGGCATAATCAGCCTCCTTGGGTATTGATGATTCATTTTCTGCCTGCTGGAAAATGATGCATAAAATTGGATTTACATAAGCACATAGAATCATATAATTGTTTAGGTTGGAAAAAGACCTTTAAGATCCTCAAGCTCAATGGTTAACCCAGCACTTCCAACACCACCACTAAACCATGTCCCCAGACACCACATCTACACATCTTCTAAATACCTCCAGGGACGGTGACTACACCACTTCCCTGAACAGCCTGTTCAGTGCTTGACAACCTTTGTGGTGAAGACACAATATCCAATCTAAACCTCCCCTGGCACAACTTGAGGCCGTTTCCTCTTGTCCGATCCCTTGTTCCTTGGGAGCAGAGCCCAGCCCCTCCTGGCTCCATCCTCCTGTCAGGCAGTTGTAGGGAGCGATGAGGTCCCCCCTGAGCCTTCTCTTCTCCAGACTGAACCCCCCAGGTGCCTCAGCTGTTCCCCATCACACTGTGCTCCAGGCCCTGCACCAGCTCCATTGCCCTTCTCTGGTCCCGCTCCAGCACCTCAATGTCTCTCTTGCAGTGAGGGGCCCAGAGCTGAACACAGGATTTGAGGTGTGGCCTCACCAGTGCCCAGTGCAGGGAGGGGCACAGTCGTTGCCTTAGTCCTGCTGGCTATGCTATTACTGATACAGGCCAGGATACCGTTGGCCTTCTTGGCTGCCTGGGCACAAGCTACTTATGTTCAGCCAGTTCTTGACCAATGTTCCCTGGTCCTTTTCCGCTGAGCACCTTTCCAGCCACTCTTCCCAAAGTCTGTAGCGTTGCATGAGTTGTTGTGACCCAATTTAAGGACCTGGCACTTTGCCTTGTTGACCCTCATACCATTGGCCACAACCCATCTATCCAGCCTGTCCAGATCCCTCTGCAGAACCTTCCTACCTTCCAGCAGGTCAATGTTCCCATCCAGCTTGGTGTCATCTGCAAACTTTACTGAGGGTGCATTCAATCCCCTCATCCAGATAATTGATAAAGATGTTAAACAGAACTGGCCCCAGTACTGGGGAACACCACTTGTGACTAACTGGATTTAACTCCATTCACCACCACTCTTTGGGCTCAGCCATCCAGCCAGTTTTTTAGCCAGCAAGCACCACGTGCCATGACTGTCCAGCTTCTCCAGGAGAATGCTGTGAGAAACAGTGTCAAAGGCTTTACTAAAGTCCAGATAGACAACATCCACAGCCTTTTGCTCGTCCACTAAGCAGGTCACCTTGTCATAGAAGATGACCAGGTTAGTCAAGCAGGACCTGCCTTTCATCAACCCATGCTGACTGGGCCTGATCACCTGGTCCTCCTGTACATGCTGTTTGATGGCACCCGAGGTGATCTG